TTTAGTGGACATTTTCGGAACCATGTGAAAAAGCGAGAGCCACGGACTGGAAGAGGACTGTTTGATTCCGAGGTCTAACATATGCTGAAATTCTGCCCGTGCGACTTTAAGCTTGTCTGCGACGAGGCGTCTGGGACAGTCGTGGACGGATGAACCTCGTGTGACGATGTAATGCACTATGTCAGTGCTGACCTGTGGAAGAGTGTTCGACGATTTACGTAACNTAACTCCGGGAATTCGGAGAGAACCGTGTGGAACCGATCTTCTTTTAACGCTCGGTAGATTATGGGGCTGACGGATATTTCGCGTGTCGGGACGCCTATTGCCTCGCAACTTGTGAGACGATCTACAAGCTTATGGCCTACGGGATCGACCATGAGATAAAAATGACGTCGGAAATCAATGCCAGTGACCGACTGAGGGAAGGTCAGCGATGATGAAGACCCATGGAAAACTACGACGAATTCCAAGGTTCAGAGTGAGTGAACGCTCGCCGTAAGTTTTGATTGGAGTTTGGTTCGCTGCGGCCAACTCAAAGGTCAATGAATGGCGCTGATCGATGAGACGAGGGCGAATACTGCTAACCTGGGCACCGGTGTCGACTAGAAAACGTGTGCCAGTGATCTCATCTGTGACGTAGAATAGGCAACTTGGCCTAGCTAAACCCAACACGGTCGTCGCCTGAGCTGGTCGGCTTAGGCGTTTCCCTGTTGTGATGATTTGTAACTACAGGGTTTTGTGCACCTCTGGACTGCGTCACTATATTAGTGATGTTACCAGAAAACCTCCCAAGAGGTGTTTAATGACCTGGGACGCCCCTGTCGGATAAGGGATAGCGAACGGGAGGAGGAACGAGAGCGGGAGCTAGAATTCGACCGATCGCGGGAAATTTTAAGTTCGGCAACTTGGGTCATTAACTCGTCCAAACGCTGATTCACTTGGTCGTTTGTGTCCTTCCACGAATAATTCCCTGGAGGTAGATTATGTAGCCCCTTATCCCCTAGACGGATTCTGTGCAGTAGCTGCTTGTCCCCCGTCATGCTGGAACGGTTGATGATCGCATGTTTTAATGCGTCATAAGGACTATCGGGNTTGCAAACTACGTCCCTAGGCCAGGCTGTACGGAGCGTGGGATGCGTCCCACGATTTGCGTAAATTTGGTCACTTGATTGGTCACCGTGGCCAGCCGAAATAGCGCTTCCACCCGTGCTAACTAGAACTTCAGGTCTTCGGGGATGACATCCGGGATTCTAGCCACTAGACTACTCGCATGGAACTCTCATGGTGCTTAATGTTGACTTCTGCGCTGGATTGATCGTCGCTTCCTGAGTTTTGCATTATGCACATAGGTGATGAGTAAATGAAAAAATGCACAATGTATGTACAATAACTCAATGAAAGTCGTAAAACACGAATCTAGGGTTATACCAGTGATATAAAAAGGATTAAGTAAGTAAAATTGTCTAGGGGTAATACCGAAACTAAAATGCGCGATAACTTTAAAAAAATAATAATATCACGTGGGGCTCACCAATTTAGTCTTTTTGCTAATGATGTCCACAAATCTGCATGTCTAGCAACAGTTAGATGCCTCAGAATACGCCCTTTAAGGATGTGCTCGAAGATCCTATTGGGATGCTGGTTAGGCTGATAGACCTATAGCTGGTAGGCAAAGGTTGATCTCCTATCTTACATATAGAGATAGCAGTCACTCTCTTCCAATTTTGTGGTAAGCTACCTGTGTCGAAGCACTTTTGAAAGAGTTAAGCATATGTAGCAGCCCACACGTCCGCGGATTCTTTCAGTATACGCAGGTGGATTTCATCCGGACCGGATCGATCTGACGGAGTTCACGCGTCTGAATTGATCTTCCACCTCTGGGGCTGCTAAGATAACGTGATCCAACAGGGCTTGGTAGGTTAAGGGACGGAGATTGGGATGACTGACAGGAGCGATGTTAAAGACCTAGTCGAAGTGGGACCAGAACATTTGCGCAACTTCTGAAGATGAAGCGACTGCAGTGTCCTGGGGTCGGACCCGTCGATGTGTACCTACCAAACGACCGAGAACGTTCTTCCAAAAGATGACGAATGGCACGCGGTAAGGGATGCATGTTTGAGGGGAATTTACAGACGCGGAGTACCAGCAGATGGTTTATTGTGCGGATACACTGCTCTACTGTGCTACTCAGGAGATCTATATCACTTATCTGATTGGTTTCGAGGATATGGGCTTCGAGGAAATGCCTCAGGTTGTTGAAGTTTTTTTGAAAGAACGAACCTCCATAAGACATGGTGTGACGAACCTGGACAGCACTATACGGTCCCTATTACCCAAAGGGAATGCTGCTGAATTGTGTCTGCGAGGTGACTATCATCTGCTATGACAAGGTCTTGCAGTGAAGGCGCTTGCCCGTTTCTGAATCTGGTTGGGCTTGTGATGTCCTGAGACCATGACAGCTCTGTGACTAGGTCGACTAGTATTGTCCGGGACATGAAGTTCTCCCCAATGTATTCCCGGAGCGTTGAAGTCTCCAGTTATGAGAAGATGGGCATTAGAGCGCATGGATCTTAGGCTATTCAGTTGCTGCATCAGAAGTTGTGATTCTTGCTCGCCACAGGCGAGTAAGTGGTGGACTACTCCTAGCACCAGTGTCTCTGAGTGGGTCAGGGGAATTTGGACCCAGAGACAGTCTATAAAGGGGATGGAAGGGAGTGATAGAACTATCGCTTGGGGGAGGTGGTCATGTAGAGGATCACACCACCTGCTCGACCCTTCATTGAGTCTCTTCGGAGATTGTTGTGCTGATGATCCGGCTGGATAGAGTAATACGTGGTTTTGTGAGTATACCCTTCCTGTGTGGCTTTCGATTAGGAGGCTTTTTGGGTTTAGCCTCAATCGTAGCAGGGGTATTGTGCCTCGGTGTCGAGGCTTTTGGGGGCTTTTGGGGTCTCGCCANTGTGATTGAGACCCTGGATAGTTGTCGTGTTTTGGGAGGCGAAGAGGTTGTAGTCGCTATGTGGTCTACCCACGAAAGGGGGATTACTGGGAGACAGTGGAGATTGGGGTCGCTTGCACCTTCGTTACTTCTGAGGGCTTCCTTATGCTTAGTTCGGGTATGCAGTGGCCTGTCTGGGGAAACTCCGCAGACAAGATTACGCGCTCTTTTCAGAGTCTCGATCTGGATGACAGCATCTGCTACCACTTACTGCCAGTTAGAGGTGATGAGGATGCCCATCTTCGCCTTCTTACATTTAGACATAAGCCACGATACTCCGTTTGGTTTGGGTAACGATGGAGCTGTAAGGCTTTTCAGTAGGGTTTTGGTTCCCGAGCCGGGGAATTGAACTTGAGGAAACTACCCCAAATCATAATCCGTTTGACACTAATGGCCGCTGTTTCT